ATGGGGATGATTAGGAATGTAGTGTGTAACATAACTCTAAGTGAATGAAAACATCCTGCAAAGTTTTAAATCTGAAAGTCCACCATATATAAAGTTTTATATTTTTATAGTTTCTTTTTCTCAGCTGGGTTGTGTTGTGCATTAAAGCATGTGAATGACCGGAGTTTGTTTCCACTTAATTTAGGTATGCAAACCTTTCTCAGATTTTTAGTGTGGTATAGAGCCTATTTTGGGTTTCGTCCTCTCGGATCATTGTAATGGAAAGATTCAGTCTTATGCCACTCACAAACAACACAATTTTAGCCCTGATTGTCCGCTCGTCAACAGTTAGGGGAGATAGCTGACAAAAGCCCAAATTCAGAGGCAAATCGGTGCTCGTTCACATAAGTGATGATCGCTATGTTTGAATTATCAAAGACGTAATCTGAGAGAACCACCAGTGTGTTGCCGATGCCTGAGAGATATTTAGCAGGTTAAAGTCCTGTAGTGTTAAATGTGTTTTGACTGGAACTGATATCAACGACGACAGACAGTTGTGTAGTGTGAAAAGAACAGCAATTTTGGAAGTTGTTTAGTGTATGAACGGCGTTAGGATTATCCTACTAAATGAAAAGTGTTCAGTTTTTGTGAAGCCATGGTTTTGTTTTAAGTGTTCAGGTTCAGGTTTGATTTGGCATTAAAAACTTTCTTACCGCCAAGCATCTCATCATTCTTCAGTGGTCAGAGCTTAGACAGACAGACAGTAACCAGTCTCATTATCTCACTTCATGACACTTAGACACCTTAACTCTCCTTTACAGAGGAATCAGCTTCAGCTGTCATAGGCAGAATACCAGCCAAAGGTCATGAGAGTTGTCATAATCTCTCCTCCTTCCTTTCTCTCAGTGTCCTTTAACCCTTTTCTGAAACACACAAAAATATGCATGCATTACTATAGAAAACAGCTCATTTCCATGTGTTTGAATAGCTAGTGTTGTTGATATCTTATCCAGTGACTCATGCACCTTTAAGGGGATTTACTGTACACACTGAACCGTCACAACATTCACATGAAGCACTGTGGTCGCAGAAGAGAAAATCCTCACATTTCCATTCTGACATTGATGGGCTTTTTGTCTGACACTGAAAGCTTGTTTGTGTGAGGATTGAGTTGTATAAGTGGTGTTCATGTTGCAAACTGGCCAACAGGACAGCTGCATGTGAGAATGTGCCGATTACTTCTTATGGACAGGGATGATTCTTTCTTTCTATCTCTTACTCATTCAACTCACACACACACACACACGCTCTCACTATTTTGGAGGCATAACAGATGTTATGTATTAGATAAATAATTAATATATAGCTCAAAGACTCTCTTCACTCAACAGCTAAATTTATTCCTTACAGAAGCCTGTGGGTGCAGTCAATGCTGAGAGATTACTTTTTTCATTGTTCAGTCAGCACAAACCCCATGAGGAGATGCTCCACACGGAGCCATTTAATTCTCTCACGCGGCCTGATAATGGTTCGTTTATTAGCTGTGTATGAACAAAAATGCTGATGTGATAATAATGCTGCACATTGGTACTCGTATGAAAAAACCCCAATGGGCTCTATGCACGGCGGTATTTCCGGTGAAGGTCTAAGGATGCTGGATTACTTCCGCCGATCGTAGAGTCCAATGCTATACCGAGAATTTATATTGGTTTTTATACTCTATTGCTATACTAAAGAAACGTTAGTCACAAAAACAGACAAAACAGACACCCCTCATTTTTGTTTATGCTTCTTTGTTTATTATATTAAATAAACACAACTATATATAAAATTACATCTAAACGTATTAAAGTTTCGTTTCAAAGACAAGAGGACAGTACATTTTGAAGACTCTGCCATAATCCCGTTTTCCTCGGTTTTCCTCCGCTTTAAATCTCCCCAACCGGAAACGCAAGAGCATCCTTGCATCAAACGCGGAAGTTATGCGTGCATATAGCCCATGGCACTGTTGCCATTGGCTCAGTCACAGAGATGCATTCAGGGCTTTGAAAGATCTGTGAGTCTCCTGAATGACGTCATTGTGAATGGTTGGGTCAGATATATTAATGTTCTTTGGCTTTAAAGGAATATTCAGATACTTTAAGAAATAACAATATTATTAAAATGTGTAAAATTTCACACAGCAAGAAAAAAATCTGTCTAAAAAACAGATAATGCCCTGGCAGAAAATTAACTACCATTTCAGGTAAGTTTACTGACATTTCCTTCAGCTATCAATCATACACAACACAATGAAACATAATTAAAAATAAGGATAAAACACCTGTGAAAAACCAATGCGGAAAATTCCTTCATATCAACAGTACATTGGTCCGACTTTTCTTAGTGTATCTTAAAAATATTTGCTTTCTATTAAACTGACACTGAATCTTTTTTCTACGCACCACTAGAGTAATGTTAGAAACCTGAAGCTAAATATACCGTTAACCTATGATATAGAATACAATAATCCTGACTAATCTTATGATATCTGTAGAAGGCATACTAGCATTCAAAAGTTTGGGGTCTGAAAGATATTTTAATGTTTTTGAAAGAAGTATCTTAAACTCACCAAGGCTGACTTTATTTGATCAAAAATGCTGTAAAAAACAGTAATATTGTGAAATATTTTTTGCAAATTAAAATAATCTTTCTATCTTAATATATTTTAAAATGACCAAGCTGAATTCTCAGCACCCATTGATCCATGCTTCAGTTTTCATTTTTGTCAGGATTCTTTGATGAATACAGTTCAAAAGAACTGATTTTTTTTTTAATAGAAATCTTTTGAAACATTGTAAATATTTTGACTGTATTTTTTTTGTAAGGGATAATCCACGGCTAGCCAGGATTTTAATGCACGACGTAGAGCCGAAGAACCACCCGACGCGAAGCCTCTATGTCGTGCATTAAAATCCGTGGATTATCCCGCTTATACCTTGGTTATTTGCCAAGTTAAAAAGAAGTTAAAGCTGTAACTGATGTTTACAGTGTAATTTTTTAACAGACGTGTAAAAATGATGGTTATTTTCTTAAGTTACGGCTCGTTAGTTCTAGCACTCCGTCCGCTTTAAATAAAGTAGAGCCATCGGATTGCTTTTATTTGAATGAATTATCACATTTATTTAAATTCATTATTAAAAGAGAGAGACAGAGAACTGAAAGAGTCCCCTCGTTGCTTAAGCATATAAACTTGCAACACTGTATGCGTCCAGCGGTAGACTGAACAGAGGCATAAAACTCCCGCAATGTCTCATTTAAAAGAGAAGCAGAGTAGGTCTCGAAATCACAATTGTTCTGTCTTTGGCGCAAAAAGTCACTGAAAGTGTTAACTGCCCATTTAGTTGTCTTTTTCGTATTGACCTCATCTTTGTTGTCTTCGGTCTTATCTAGCTCTGTCGGTGTTTATTCTTTGGGCCGCTTTTTGTCATTCAACGTCTTCTCCAAGTCTTCTATTTAGTCTTGTGCTTGGGCCCATTTCTCAAAATTGCCATATTCACCATACAAATTAAACGATATGCAAAAATCATCCATTTAGCCTAAGTTACCTAAATAAACGTTTTCATATGTGCCTCTCGCTCTGTTTGCAAGTGTAACTGTGTTACTATGGTTAGGTTACCAATGTTTATAGTAGCGGATTAATTTCGAACTGTAATCAAACTGACTGGAACTACCTGTGCATTAAACGGTTTTACTGCACACCTTCCAGCCAATCATAATTGAGTATTTAAACAGCCCATGGTATAACTCAATTTAATGCATCCTTCCTGAATAAAAATAGTATCTTTAAAAAAAAAAAAAGTCTAAACCCAAACTTTTGAACTGTAGTATAGATTGAAAGTATAAAAATATCAAATTTGTTTAATTAAACATTATTTATGTGATTTGATATACTTTTTATAATGGAAATGTTGTGTTTTGCTTTCTATTTTGCATTTTGTGCTCAGCGTGTGTTGTGGCAAACAAGGACAGACTGGCATTAGTGGCCTTTGTCACCGGTGATCCAAGAGAATTTGGTTGTGTTGGGTCCAGATGGCAGAGGTGATGATGGGCAGGTTCTGTATTTTTGGAGAGCTGCTGTCCAGGGAGGGATAAACTGACATAGGCAAGCATGAGCGTGGTCTGCACAATGTGACGCATTTTACAGGCAGCACAATGAGTATTCATATTGGAAATTAGTGACCCTGAACCATGAGTGCAGTTTGGCAAAAGAGAGTCTATTCAATCATAATAAATCACGAACATCAGCCTGCCAGCTGAGATAAGCTTAAACAGCAGACGGTATTTGTCCTAAGTCCATTAATGCTTAAGGACTGAGTTACTAATTATGAAATAATTTTTGTCACTTCTGTTATTTTAACATGGAACATAATTTTTACAGATATTTTCACTTATTCAATTACCTCATTTTCACTTACTTTATTTCCTATAGCTGATGTAGATGTATTTCTGCAGGTATCAGAAAAAAATGAGTTTGAGAATTCCTCTCCGTTATTCTTGACTGTCAATGTTTTGTTGTGTGCTTCTATTTGTCAAATTTCTATTAATCAAATCATTCATCTGATAATAACATTTGGATTATTTATGGCTTTTCAGTCAGATGGGAAAATGTATAACATAAGCAAGCAATAAAAAAAGCAGTAATAAAATAAGTAAACTATTGTACGGGCACTTCATTCAGTTTGAGAATAAAGAACCAACACAAAAGCAACATTTGCAAGCATTCAGAGGTTTAAGAAAGCACAGTACAATATTAGTTTAGTCATAGTACCACTCTCCCTGAAAAATGTGAATACAAAAAGCAGTAATATTATTTTCTCTCATTTTGCCACTAACCTGTGCAAGTTTTTATCATCTGATTGTTTGTTTGTTTTTATTCATCCCATTTGTTTTCTTTTTATGTTGAAAATCAAATCAATCAAATGGGGGGTTTCAAAAGCAACTTATACAATTCTGAAATGATCATTCTTAATCATCCACAGACTCTCTGGATTTAGAGACTCTCCCAGAGGATTCTGGGTCTGAGGTGGTACCAGAGACGCCCCCCCACAGTCGACCTCAGGAAGATGAAGGGTCAGATCTCACTGAACCCAGCACAGGTAACCAACACATACTTCACACAGATAAACACCGTAACTATGTGATATTGATTTTGGTCCTGGAACTGTTATCAACCAGCCAGAATTTGATTTAGGGCCAACTTGAACAACATCATCATACAGTAATATTGACTTCTGACTGTAGGGATGGCTTATGGTTAGGACAAATAAAGGACATTTAAAACCAAAGCCATCCTAGTTAATACAATTGTTTTTACCTTGGTAACTAACATGTTGGGGTGCTTTCACCCTGGCTGTTCAATAGAATTGCTGAGCAATTTTCATTAATTTGAAAGCAATTTGAACTCTGGTCCGCACTTGTTCAGGATGTAAAGTAACATGCACGTGGATTTTAGCTGATGACAACATCATTAGTTCAACCAAACACATGCAGGGGATCATGCCAGTGATGATTTACGAGCGAGAGTGAGCGTGCAGTGTAATCGTGTAGAGTGAGTGCAATCAGAGCGGCAAATGAATGGCTCGCAATCAGATGTCTCCTCAAAAGAGCAGCAGAATGCAACGCGCATAGACGCAAGTGTTTTCATTTTGCTGCACATAATATCACTAATTAAATAAAAAACAACATATCAACCCACATTGTTCTTTCTATCATGCGTGCTGTGCACATTTGTGATGCCGCAAGATGAACACAAATCCACTGAGGTTCGATAGGATCTATAAAAACCAGACCAGTCCCACTCAGTTTCAGACCGCAGTGTGAAAGCCCCCTTAGATTGTACATTAGTACACTCTTGCACAGCACAAGTCACTTGTGGAGAACACAGTCCACTCACAATTCAGAAAACGAATGCAAGAATTGTAACTATCAGTGCAGAAATTAAACCATGAAGAAGGAAACCAAAGCTTGAAGGGATTGTTGATGCTGATGCAAACATCTGAAACACACTCATACTCATACTAACTATACTTGATCCACAGTGCCTAAACACTAGATGAGGTTCAAAGAATTGAGTTTGCAGACATAGTTGATGAATAATTTAGAGTCAATTGTGACGCTTTAATTGCACTGCACCTTCCTGTTAAATTAGGTCCATACAACATGTGTCCAGGCTGTAAACCTGTACTGTAACAGCTGTTTGAAAGCCATTTTATGTGTGTAAATCTCCACTGACACTGGCAAGACATAAATCTTCCACTAACACCAAACATTTCGCTGTCAACACACCCTGCAACTCTTCGTGTTTTGTAAGCTGTCAATTTCACTTTTTCTCCAAAAGGCCTCCCAGCGTTATTACTGTACTTTGTTCCTCCCTAATAAAGTTTATTGATCCCTGAAAGCACGTTGGACACTGGTATTTCTTGAAGAACTCAATAGTTCTCCTTCACTCTCTCTCTCAGGTCAGGCAGAGTATGTTTCTCGTATCCGAAGGCTAATGGCTGAGGGAGGCATGACTGCGGTTGTCCAGCGTGAGCAGAGCACCACAATGGCTTCCATGGGCAGCTTTGGCAACAACATCATTGTCAGCCACCATATCCACCGTGGCTCCCAGACAGGTGCGGACGCACGAAGCCGTACTCTTTTGAGCCCTATCCCTGGTCCCTCCTCTAGTGTCCCTGAGTCTTTGGCTGGAGCTGCAGGTTCGTACTCCTGCGTCCTCACCAACGCACTGGGGCTTCATACCGACACAGCTCTGGGCACCTCTACAGACATAGACTTAACACCCCTCGTAGAACAAGAGAGTCTTCACACATCCCTCCTTTCACAGGAGTTTTCACCTCTTTTCTCATCTGCTGTAAACACAAACGGACCTTCTGCTTCCATGGAAACAGACAGTGTCTTGGAGGGAGAGGAGCTCCAAGACTTTGTGCCCCTCTCTCCATCTTTACTCTCATCCTCACCATCTCTTTCTCCAGTGAATAACAGTAACTACAGCAACAGTGATAATAGTTACCTCGGAGAAGAGTATGGGCGGTGAAAGGGGCAGAGTTCGGAGAGAAGTCATCATTTGAAAACAACGAGAAAAGAGAAGGCAACTCAACAAAAACGTCAGAATATATTTGCACTTGGTGTTCCTTTCGCATCAGCATTAATATTTTGCATCTGCTCTGACACAATTTAGTGAATAATGAAAGATGGAGAAACGGTTGTAGTTTCCTGATCAGCTAAAACTCAGCAATGTATTCAGGCATGTTGTACTTCAGTCAGCCTTGCTGAAGGTCCCAGTGGTGGTCTCTGTCTGCCTGTTGTCCATCATGAAGTGCGCACATATATAGCCACGTACAGAATAAGGTGTGTATGTGTTTTTATGTGAATGCCAGAGAGATGGAGCATCACTTTGCAGGAAGTCTTGAGTCTGCAGAGCAATATCAGTTCAACTGAACATTTTTTTCCTCTACATCTTCTTTCAAATGTAACATTTCAGATGCCATTGAAATCTGCTGCCTGAACCAGAAAAGTATAAAGTCTCGTATAGTCTTGTATTTGAAGTTACAAAAACACGTCACACTCTGAACAATTTGGTTATGTTACTGTTGGTTAGTTTAGAACTGGGTGTAAAGTCACTTCTGCAGAAGGTAGGCCCATTTTTAGAAGGTAATTGTTACATTTTAGTTCAGATTTTTATAAAGTTGAAAATGCCACACCTTGTTTTTCCTGTTTTTTAAACTTTTGGAAAGAAGATAAGAAAGAGAATCAAGAAAGAAGACAGAGTTGTCTAAACAAATATTGTATTTTGCAGAGTTAATTCTGTGGCATTAATGGGTAGTTCAAAAATGAAAATTCATCATTTACTCATCCTCATGTTTTTCCAAACCTGTCTGACTGCAGAACACAAAATAAGTTATTTTGAGAATTGAGAAGAAAAAAACAATTGAGTTATTTCTAGAATTGAGAAGATTCCAGGTTTGGAACATGAGGGTGAGTAAGGGATGACAAATTTTCAAACCTTTAAAATCTGTAGCCCCATAAAATCATCATCTTCATCAGTCTTCCATGTGGCCAAGTCAGTCTTTCTTTCCACCCATCGTTACCACTGAAACCCCTTAATTATCTTGCTTTGCCCTAAATAAAAAAACAGAAAGTTGGCTTCTTGAAAGGGTTTCCCCTTCCCTGTTTACAGTAAAGTGGTTCTTGACGCAATGTGATAAACCTCACCCTCAGAACCTCAACAGGGAAGCAAGTTTGACAAGCATGTCTATGTGAGAGAGACACTATCCCAGTTCTGTCAGCTACTGTAGATTTTCAAAGCCTATTGAAAGTTAAGCAGACACCTGACAACATTTCTGTTGCTACCTTTCCATTTATTTCTTATGTAGCACTCTGGTTTCTACCTTCTCTCTCAGAAAAGTGCGTGTATGTGCGCGTGTGTGTGTGTGTGTGTGTGTGTGTGTGTGTGTGTGTGTGTGTGTGTGTGTGCGCCTGTGTGTGTGTGCGCCTGTGTGTGTGTGCGCCTGTGTGTGTGTGTGTGCGCGCCTGTGTGTGTGTGCGCCTGTGTGCGTGCGTGCGTGCATGTGTGTGTTCAGAGAGCTTGTCCATTGAACCTCAAAGTGTGCCCCAGGCTCTGCTGTGATGCCTTTTGAATTTCAGAATTTGAAGCATATTTTGTCTTCAGCTTGTTCACAAACCACTAAATAACCACCAAATCATCATGTCGGATGTGTTTAAGTGTACTTTATGTTGATATGTGACCTTAGGGAGTGTCTTTATGATGTGTTATTTACTGTCGAAATGCTGGCCAGTGGACTGGTACACAGTGCTACAGTACTGCATAGGGAAGGCGGATGTTTGGATGAATGTTTATGTGAGATTTTTCTTGTTCGCTGGCTAATGCATTATGTTCCGCATTAATATGGAGAGGCTCTCTATGCTTCTTTTGGCAAACCACTTTATCCTGAAAATGAATGTCTGGCAGTGTCTCCTGAACCAACCTGCTGCTTTGGTAAACAGTATAACCTCTGCTTTAGAGCTCAGCTCACTGCCCTCCTACAGTAAAAAAAAAAAAAAAAAAAATTGTGCTTTTTCTGCACATGATGTATAAGACACTGTATAATTACAGCAGCAGCTTTTCTGAGGGATTATGTACTTCACATTAAAAGTGACTAATTTTTGTCTTTTTTGTTTGTTTTTCTGTTTGCTTTTTAGAAAACTGTTATTAAATGTTTGTCTTTTCAAAGAAAAAATTGCGGTAAAACATTGATCTGCATACTGGGAAACAATCCTGTATGTGAATTATATGGAATAAAACTATAACAGACATACCGTGTTAATGTTTGTTTGTGTGTTGATAGCGATAAAGATAAAAATGCTCATTTTGTAATGTTTTGTTTTTTAATGTTTTCATTTTAGTATTATGGGCCTTTTTGTTGCAGATGACCGGGATGAGAGATGTCTCGCATGCCCCTACTGATCTTTTGATTCTTTAAACTAAAGTCTAAAGGTCCAGATGTTATTAGATTCACTGTAGTTCATTTATTATATAACCATTTTCATTCATACACTTAGCTGCACATTAGCCTTGTTGCTCCTGAGCCGACTTCAGATCAGTGCTGCCTGTTTAGGATTATGCCTCTCACGTAAGTAGATTCTTTTCAGATGATTCCAGAACTGTGAATGAGACTAAGCAGTGATAGTGTTCACTGTGCTATGATGGAGAGGTTAACACTGGCTCTGAGAGACCATTTGAATAAAAAGGCCTGTAAAAATGATTTGTCAGTTAATATTAAGATTCTCAAATCTGCAGTTCAGACATTTGCTATAGGATTCTGAAGGTACAATGATGTAATTTAAGATTGTTAATTGTTAATCTTCTCAGTGAAAATGGTTCAGAGAGATGTGAATAGAAATGAGACGTGTGAGAGCTGCATATCAGGGAAGGAACATTAGGAAAAATGTTTTGGTTCTCTATAGCCTTTTTCAGTCCTTATACTGATTAAATGGGATCTCAAGGGAAGCTTAAAAAAATTGTCTCTTTTCTTAGGAGCAGCCCTGTAATGAGGACCTCAAGATGACCTAACTGTTAGAAAACATCAGTTTCATGGTATAAAACACACACACACACACACACCCACCCAGAAACACTTCATCATGCAGGCATGTATGAAAGCAACAGCCAAACTAGCTAATGTGAGGCTGTAGAGGCAACATGCAACAAGCCATGTAACCACATCATCTTGTGCTTTTGGGCTCCAACTAAACCTGTGTGGTGGCTCATTGCTGATGTAGATTCAAGACAGCTGAGGGCTCATTAACAGAAGGGAGAGAGTTGCCTTACTGCATTCTGCTGCACACATACTGTACATACCAGGAGGTCAAGGTTTGGCAGGGCTGTGTGAGGCAGTGACCCCCTGCTGGTAGATGCTGTAACTACACCATTTGGGCGGCAAAAAGCATATTTCTCCATCGATGATAACCTAGGCTTTTACAAGCAGCTCTGTGTTCAGACTAAATATTTATATATTTGTTTAATTGCTGCATTTATAAGCAAAATGTATTATATTTGTGTATTTTTATTAATTGTATGTGTAGATAGACAGACATTTTTATTCAGCAAGGATGCATTAAATTGATCAAACGTGACAGTAAAGACAATGTTACAAAATAAATGCTGTTCTGAACTTTCTATCCATCAAAGAATTTTGAAAAATCTATTACAGTTTCTTTAAGAAATATTAATCTGCACAACTGTTTTCAACATTGATAATATTAAGAAATGTTTCTTAAGCAGCAAATTAGCCGAATGAATTCTGAATGATCAGAGACTGATGTAAAGATGGTGAAAATTTAGCTTTGACATCACTGGGATAAATTACATTGTAAAATAAAATAAAGTAAAATCAAAATGATTATTTCACAATATTACGGTTTTCACTGTATTTTGATCAAATGAATGCAACCTTGGTGAGCAGAAGAGACTTAAAAAAAAGTCTCTCTCTCTAGCTATATAGCAAAGCAATTGCCTTTGAAATAGCTTTTTTCAGATATTATAGTCCTCCTTGATAGAAACACTTTGCTCCTCTAATCAGTGTCATCCTGACAAATATCAAGAATTTTAATGCAGGACTGAGAAATCCATTCCTGCCATGTGAAATGACACCAATTCCTGTTCCCCCAGCCCAGACTAAGCTATGACAGATCGTTCCTGAGGGACTGGAAGCCACCGCAGTATTCACTGTTTATTTTGAGAAAGCGATTATACACTTTTCCCTATGGCTCTGAGAAATTCCACCTGTCTGGTAGGAAATTGGTTCGCCATTAGCCCAGTGTGTCTTATTTTCAACTTTCAGCTGACTCTCTGCTTTTTTGTGAGTCTCCTGTCTCATATATCAGTATTGATGCTGTGAATGATTAAATAGGGCTGGGATTGCTGGAATTCATATCTCACTGCATGTTAACCTGTGAGGTTGACAACAGCGGGCCTGATCAGAGTCCTCCCTATAAAGCTGATCTCAGTAATTTTGTGAAAAACAAAGCTCTAATACTGACATGATTACATGCCCTGCTGAGCATTATTATCACCTACACTAACTCTGCTCTCACTCTCCAGAACTGCTGTTGCATAAAGTGCTCCACACAGAGGATCTCAGAGAGCTGCATCGCAGCGTAAGTGGGCACTGCGTGTGTGTGTGTGTGTGTGTGTGTGTGTGTGTGTGTGTGTGTGTGTGTGTGTGTGTGTGTGTGTGTGTGGTGGCATTTTTCTGAGCGCTCAAGTGCACACATGCACAGTTAGGCTTTGTGAGAGAGGAGATTTAATGATGGGTGTTTTCTGAGAGAGAAAGGCTGTTATGCAAAGCCCCTCTTAATTGTATAATGTGGCAGATAAACAGAGTGGGCTGAGGTTAATGGGGATGACTATAGCAAAACATGCTGCTAATGATCCGGCCCATTTACTATTGCTAAAAACCCCTTGGCACAGTGTGAAGCCATGTACTGTATGCTATTACAAAGCTATCACATGTTTCTCTAACAGATATGGCATGTTGTACATTTTGTTTCTCCCTGAAATGCTGTGTGTGTGGACATTTTCTTCTAAAGCGATCATTTTCCTGTGCTTCTCTGCTGCTGTCAGTTTTAATTTGCTGTACATCCCCAGCTAATAAAGCCACTGAGACTGTACAGGAAATATCCACACAGCATTTGCTCATACATTATGATGTATTGATACATTTTGTCCAAAATTGCCCGTATTACTTAACAGGATACATAACCCTGAAATTGAGTGTAATCTGGTCTCATGATCATAATAGACTGATTATCTGCCGTCATACACAGTGGATGTTTATCATTTTTTTTATTAACCTTTAATATTCATGATCTATTCATTGTATGTTTATGACTTTGTAATGCATCAAAGTAGCGTGTACATCAATTACAAAAAAAACTTACATTGTAATAAAAAATATATGCTATGAAAACTATAAAATATAACTTTAAATTGGTGTGTGTCTGGGACTGGGTGCCAGTGATTACTACCGATATGAGTAGTATTGAATAGAAATATAATCAAGTGTCTAGAGATGTTTTATATTCAAGTGAGAGGTGCCTTTGAAATAAAGCAGTGATTAGGTTGTGTGAAATGCATAAATACCTTTTTTTCTGAAAAGAACAAACTAAAAATCAAATATAGATGTATAGCCAACTTTCCATGCGCCTTTAACACTGTTATTGTGAGTTAGAAAACCACTAAATGAGCAAACCTCAGAATTTTGTTATTAAAAAGGAATAGTATAGGAAAAAGACCTGATGTAGTATGGTTTAAAATGCATGCAGCA